GGCATTTGATTTTCATCCCCCCACCATGAGCTTACTGTGTGCCGAATTCCTTATCTACACAGGGAGTAAGTAACAAGACCTGCTCGGCTCCTGGGTTTTTCTACCATACCCATGAAATAAACCTCCACCAAAACTGCACAGTACCACACGAGGGTAAGATTCTCGCTACGAACAAAGTTCACGGAAGCTCTGGTCCATTTAATGCATCATGAAAGTCAATGCCACAAATCACAGCCAGAGTCTAACGTGAAACAATCAAGGGGACAAAAGAAAGTCGTCAGAGTGTACTGCAGGCGAGAAGGGTAAGTATTGTTTTCCTATGAATTTGGTTTTATTCACAGTGTCTAATGTGCAGGGTCTCAAAATGTGGGAAAACCACCAACGGGTCTACACAGTACAGACGGCGGCAAGCAGGCCCGCTTGGCGCCCTTACCTCCTCCTTCATGCCTGTCTCCAGAAGCAGCATGACACAGGCCTCGATGGGCAATGCGATCTCACGCCCGCTCCGCTTCAGGTGCTCTTGCAAAGGAGTCCCAAAGGCTGGCTTTTCCGCCCACTTATCTAGAGCAGCAAAGCATCCAGTGAGACACCCAACAACCTCACGGCATCAATGGGGAGTCTTTTTCCTCCCACAAATTACCAAAGGGGATCTTTTTTTTTAAGCGGACTGGTGGTTGAGGCTTTGGGAAAAGGGGAAACATCTGTTCTGTTTGCTTTTGCTGTTTACCATTTACTAGAGCAAAAATAGGCATGGGGCTGGGAGGTTACTTGCGGAGCAGAAGCCCTGAACACCCTCTGTGGCACCCCGTGAGAGCGGCCCAGCTGAAGTCACGAGGGTGCTCCTGCATGGGACTGGTGGGCTGCCTGGCCCTACACCGAGGATGCGTCTAGGCACCCTGATTTCACTGGAAGGAAACTGATTCCAGCCATGCAAAGCAGCACTGGCCTTCCATCTAAGGGACTCCCTCAGTGCAAGAGGAAATAACTTCTTAAGATTTTAAACACAAGCCAAGCATCATCACACAAGACCGGAAGATGGCCGATGGGAACTCGTAGCAAATGCAACGTCTCCGTGACATGCAGTGCTTCTGAATGCCGGAGCCCCAGACAGGTCCCAAACAGTCTGCGTAGGGAACAACGCGGGATCCGCAGCCCCAAAGCAGCTGAGGCTGAAGCCTGTGCCAGCAGTAAAGCGATCATTTATATTATTTTGGGGTCACATACTCTGCTCCACTCCATAAGAGATTTGAGGCAGCTTAGCAGAAATACATACAATAAAGCAGCAAAACAGAAACAAGAGTTTAGCGAATGGATGTGTCCCATTGGGATGAGAAGCACTCGGTTGGGTCTGGCCCGCCTGCGGGTCCTGTGCATATCTACTGCTGCCCAAGAAGCAGACGGACGCAGAAGAGGGGAAACCGGCCCAAGAAAAATGCTCAGCTGAGGAACACTTAGTTCCTTCCAGTGACGGGAAAGGTTCCCGTCCTCCTCTGCACCACCAATGGACAATTATCCTTCAGCCGCTCTGCTGTTCGAACCACGAGTTCAAAGCAGGCACGATCACCCTGGTGTGTCCTCTTAGACTCCACTACATGAAAGAGCAGGGACAGGCCCCATCGTGTGATCTGCACATAGTGGGAGGAAGAAGAATGGAATCCCCAGGTCCCTGGGCCTGAGAGCTTGTGCAAGGCTAGAATCGATGGGAAGAGCGAATGGGGTCCCGGTTGAAGAGAGGTGAGGGCTAGAGAGGCAGGCGCCCTCCTCATCTCTGGCCCTGGCCCCGGCTCCAGCCCCAGCCATGGTCAGCATAATTCCTAGCAGCAAGAGCATCCAGGGGCCTGGCCCTTCTCCGTGATAGCCCTCTCAGAGGCCAGACCTTCCCCCGCATACTTTGTCCCTTTCATCTAAAACGAGGATTCTCAATCAGGCAGAAAACGGCCACATGACCCCTCCCCTGGGAGATACATCAGAGTGCCCCAGGGGAGTTCTGCAAATGGCACCTGCCATCACGGCCACCCCACATGCCTGACTCCGTGGCGGCAAGGGCTGGGTGTTCTCCAAACACCTGCTGGAACTTTCTAGTAAACACTCTACGGTGTGCCCTGCCCCCCACCGCGGTGTAATGTTGGCAGAGGGTGGACGTGAGAACCAGTGACCTAGACGACTCCTGAGCCAAACCGCCCTGAGGATGCCAGCCTCTCACACAACAGACCAGTGAAGTGCTGGCTGCCACAGCGGCACCCACAGTTCACAACACCCCCCCCCCAAATAAATATAAGACACACATGTAAACATACAACACTCATTCACAAGACAACGCATGTTTGCTAAGTCACGGCCAAAAAATGGTATAGATGAGGGTCACAAATGCAGTTGTCCACAGGGACCAGGGACATACCAGCCCTGCGCCTGGCGCCCGACCCATGCTGCCATGTAGGAAAACAGATCCAGGGTTGCCAGACTCCCACAACTTCCAGGAGAAGCCAGAAACCAGATTGCTACATGAAGGTGTCTGGTGTTTCAATGATGGCAACATTTTTTTTTTAATGAGATGTGGCTGTTTGCGACTTCTGGCATAGACCACAGATGCTAGAGTGACTCAGGAGACAAGGTGTGTGCTGTTGGCTTCAGAGAAGGCTTCTCAAAGGAGGGGGGCTTAGATGAATGAAACAGACCAAGGAAGACCAGCTGAGAAAGGTCCAGGGACCTTGAGTCTCAGAAGTGATATCTGATTCCACAGTTCACGCGTGAAGTGACACAGGCCCGGGGGGACGGCACGAGAGGAGGAGAAGGCCTAGCAGAAGGCAGAAAGGGCAGACCCCGGCAACAGGTGGCTCCAAGTTCAAGCCCGGATGGTTTGGAGGAAGGCGGCACTCGGGAGAGCCGGACGACGAAGGGACAGCTGGCGTGAGGGGAAGAATCGGCTTGCTTTCTGGGATGTGTGGAGTTTCAGGGCACAGCAGGCCCTCAGAGGGAACCAGCACTGAGGAGGCCGTGAGGCCGAAGACGCTGGTGAGATGGGAACTGTCACCAGGAAGGGGCTCTGGGGACAAGGAGGGCAGGAGGGGTAAGAGCACAGCCCTAACAATGAACTTTCCTGTTCCCTGTCACTGGCTGACCTACTTCTCTAGGGAAAACAGCCTTGGGAAAAAAAGAGGTTGTTTTGGGTTTTTTTTTTTTTTAAAGTCCTGCTCACAAAACCCAATCTTCCCTTTTGCTGTGCTTGTTCGTCAGCTCCAAACCAGATTTTAATTCATTCAAAGGCTAAGATGATGACGGTTACCATCTTGTCCTACACGGGGCCAGGCACACGGTAGGTATCCCATAAAAACACACTCCTGGAGCTCGGAACTTGCCCGGCAAGAGCCTGCCCCTTGCAAGGCTGGATGTACGCCAGCAGCTTCATTCCCTCGCACGGGGACTTGACCTCGTCATCCACAAACGAGGAAACCGGATCACGAAGGAAAGCAAGAGCAGCTTGCCCTAGGAAGAGCTCATCAGATGTATGCACTCGAGCTGGGTGAAGATCTGCCTATGCAGATCGGGGCCTCCTCAAATTTAGAGAAGTGGCGTTGTTGAGGGTGCCGGTGTGCGTGCACACCCACACACGCTCGCTCTCTTTCGCGATCACAGAGTCACTGCGCTCAGCACCTGGCTTGAGACCAAAGGTTCTGCAGGGGGAACCTAGGCTCCAAATGCGGGGTCTACACAACCAAACAGTACAATAGGTCCAAAGAAGACAGACTAACTTCTGCCTCAACCAGGTTTTTGGATCTCTGCTGGTAGATGCTCTGATGGCAAATGAGAAAATGAGAATCAAAAGCTCTAATGTTGGGCTAAAACTAAACATCAGAAGGAAGTTCAGTCCACTCATGACTTGTGGGTAAAGTCTGCTGAAAGCTTGAGTATGGAGGGCAGAACGTGAGTGCTGAGAACAAGAGCCTTGTATGCAGGCAAGGAAGAGGGGGAAGGAAGTTGCCTATGGCCTCATGGTTCATTCCCACCAACTGAGTGCCTGATGAGGGGCTATCAAGTACTGGCTTCTAAAAATCCCTTTCTCAAAGTCCAATATTTTCCCCAGAATGTATGCTCTTGGAGTCGCAGGGTCAGAGTTAAACCCAAGGGAACAAATAACTGACCCGGAAAAGGAGAAGACACAAAAACACACACAGGTACTCCCCCAAAGGGTCCAGCAACTGAACATGTCAGAATTGCACATGTCCCATTAGTATGTTAATTTGGGTTTGGAAGAAATTAGAGAATGCGGCGAGGAAAGATGAGATTATGCTGGGAAACAGTACTCTCCGAGGAGAAAGGCGTTATCCAAAGGAAATGCATGCAAAGGAGTCAGGGTGAAGAAGAACAGAGCGCAAGTGGCAGAGGCAAAAAGGAGGCATCAGCCAGCACGCAGGTTACATTACCTTGATGGGCTCGCATTTCGGGAAGGGCCTTTTCTAAGACTGCTAATGCTTTTCTATGGTAATCTGCTTGGGCTTCTAATAACTGAGAACAGACCCACATTCAAAAACAAAAGCAACGTTAGCATCGGATGGACACACACACAATGGCTGAGCAAAACCAAAAATGAAATCTTTTGCAAAACAAAACAAAACAAAAAAACTAAAATGACTCCATTTTTACAATGTTTTCATACTTTGTCAAGGCCAGGTGCTTACCGTAATGAAGAATTTGCCATACTCCCCTTCTTTGGCCATAAAGTTGTACATGTCCGCTGCAAGCTGGTCCTGGTGAGTGGAAGAGAAGAGAGGTCACTGAAGAAAATGGCATCTGAGAATTAATATCCATGAGCTCTTAGAGCAAAACGTCATGGAAAGAGCCACAGATTAAACGTCCATCAATTGCCTGGTATAACCATACGTTGGGACAACAGCAACAACAAAAAAGGAAGCTTATTAGGGGAATGATGTGGGAAGATCTCCAAGATACACGGTTAATATTCCTTATTAAGAAGTGAAGTATATACAGCCACCTGGGTGGCTCAATCTGTTAAGTGTCCAACTCTTAATTCCAGCTCAGGTCATGATCTCACAGTTGGTGAAATTGAGCCCCACGTCGGGCTCTGCGCTGACAGTTTGGAGCCTGGTTGGGATCCTTTCTCTCTGTCCTCTCTCTCTGCCTCTCCCCATGCTGGCTGGTTCTCTCTCTCAAAATAAATAAATAAGCATTAAAAAAAAAGAAAAAGAAAAAGAAAAGAAAAAGAAAAAAAAGAAGTGAAGTATAGGGGTGCCTGGGTCGTTCAGTCGGTTTAGCATCCAGACTCTTGATTTTGGCTCAGGTCCTGATCTCATGGTTCATGAGATTGAGCCCTGCATTGGGCTCTGTGCTGACAGTGCAGAGCCTGCTTGGGATTCTCTCTCTCTCTCTGTCTCCCTCTGCCCCTGCCCCACTCTCTCTCTCAAAATAAATAAATAAACATTAAAAAAAAAACCAAGTATAAAGCATTAGTTATGCTATGTTACCACCTGTGTAAAAATAGAAGAGAAAAAAATGTTATATTTTTGCTGCCACATTAGCATAAAAATATCTCCGGAAGAAAAAACAAGAAATTGGCAATCGAGGTTACCTTTTGGGAGCAGAGGAAATTCGGTAGAAGCAGGACAAGGGTGGAAGAAAGACTTACTGTATATTGCTTTATGCTTTTGATACTTGAACTAATGTAGATGAATTGCTTATAAAAATTAAATAATTTGCTTAAAAGTGATAGATTAGGCAACTGTGTGTATATATATATGTGTGTGTATATATATATATATGTTTCCTATATTATATTTGAATTAGATTGTATTTGAATTACATATGTATATATTTATAAAATGTACTGCCTTCTGTTTTTAGCATCAAGGTGCACAAATTAACATGAAGGCCCTTCTCATTTATGAAAATACTTAGAAATGCTAGTTGGGAATAACAAACATTCTTTTAGAATAACTGGGAAAGCAATGGAGTAAATTCATGGAGACCCACCACACATCTCCAAAAAAGAAAGGGAGAGAAAGAAAAGAGAAAGAGGGCAGGGCAGAGGAGAAAGAAAACAAAGGAAGAGAGAAGGCCTTTCACTCATAAGTGGAATTTAAGAAACAAAACAGATGAACATAGGAGAAAGAAAAAGAGAGGGAGGTAAACGATAAAAGTGACTTTTTTTAAAGTAAGCTCCACACCCAACATGGGGCTTGAACTCACGACGCCAAGATCAAGGGTCACATGCTCTGCCAACTGAGCCAACCAGGGGCCCCAGAGACTCTTAACGACAGAGAAAAAACTGAGCGTTGCTGGTGGGAGGTGGGCAGGGGTTAGACTAAATGAGTGATGGGCATTATGGAAGGTACTTGTTGGCATGAGCACTGGGTGTTGTATGTAAGTGATGAACCACTAAATTCTACTCCTGAAACCAATATTACACTGTATGTTAACTAACCAGAATTTAAATAAAAACTTGAAGCATTAGATTTTTTTTTTAAAGGAAAAGGCCTGACAAGTGGAAGCTGGGGATGACCTGGGTGGGTCTATGCCACTCTTGACGGCCCAAGGTGTTGGAGTCTGGCAGTCACGTGGAGTCAGAGGACAGAAAATGAAGCCGTGGGTCCGGCAAGGTGAGGAACTGTAACTGACAAGTATGCTCACATCACACACAAAGATCCCCGAGAAACTATATCCTCAGCGGAAGGGTGGATCAGAAAATATTCGCTCAGTAGCGTATGGAAAGAATAGAGTATATGTGTTTTGCATTGGGAAAGTAAAAATATTTTCCTGGATTTTACAAATACAGCCTGATTTCATGAAGGTCTGAAGTCTATGTTTATAATACATGTGGTTCAGGAATCCTCAAACTGAGAAAGTTAAAGTTAGTTAAAAATGGCCTTGAACTGGTAATACTCTGTAGGGAAAATCACTCCCAATCTTTAAGAGTCCCACAGATAAAGTCTCTCTTAAAATGAACTCACAATACAAAATTACAAAACACAGGAAGAAACAATCTACCATGAAGTAAACTCCCACCACTCTCACTGAGGAAACAGAATTACCAAAGATTGTTACAGTAAGTATACATAAAATGGTTAAAGACATTAAAAAAAAAAAAAAAACAGGCACTAGAGAACAATATCATAGTATCAAAAAAGGCTGACCTGAAGAAATTTGAATGGAAAAATGCAGTAAATGAAATTCCAAACTCAATGTTGATTAATTATACAGCAGATGAGACTTAGCTAAAGAGAAAATCAGTGAAACAGAACTTAGATGTTGGGAAATTACCCAGAAGTTAGCATACAGAGACAGAAGATATTTTCACAAGTTTTCACCATCTGAATTGAGAAGCTCTGGGGTGGAAGTCAAGAGAAGACACATCAGCCCATAATGCACCAGTCCAGACTCCCAAGACCTCTGTAACTCTTCTGAACAGGAATAAGCCACTATGAGACCATTTTATCAGAAGCATTTATCTGAAGGTCATCTTTTCAAATGCAAAGGCTATGGCATGACTTTGTGAGTTCAGTTTTAAACAACTCATTTTACTGCAGTTAATTGATCCTAAAATTAATTATCTTGAAGAATGAATTATAGCGTGACTTATACAAACTAAAATATAACAGTCCCAACACTATCTAATAGAATAGAGACCATTTTTGGAAAAATGCTGAATAGTAAGAGGAAGAAAAGCTTAGGTCAATGACCCTAAGACTCACCAAAGACCTGTTTCTTTAACACCTCAAATAACATTTAGAATAAAGATCTATCTTCACAGATAGATGTACAGAGAATGAGATCACTTAACCATCTAATCTGTAATTTATTTAATGGCATAAAAAATAGTATTTCTCCCAAATTCCAAACCAATTGTCCCAGCAACATTTAAAAAATAATTTTTCCCTTCTCTACGGATATATGATGACCTCTTTACTGTATATTCCATTGTTTAAAGTAATAGCATTGAGGGGCGCCTGGATGGCTCAGTCGGTTGAGCGTCCATCCGACTTTGGCTCAGGTCACGATCTTGAAATTCACAAGTGCCAGCCCCGTGTCAGGCTCTGTGCTGACAGCTCAGAGCCTAGAGCCTGATTCGGATTCTATGTCTTCCTCTCTCTCTGCCCTCCCCTACTCTCATTCTGTCTCTCTCTCTCTCTCAAAAATAAATAAACAAAAAAATTTTTTTAAATAAAGTAATAACATTGATTCTAGAAAAACTATGCTATTCCACAGATCTATTTTTGTGCCTATTGTGCATTTTTGTTAAAGATTTGTTTAAGTAATCTCTACACCCAACATGGGGCTTGAACTCACAACCCTGAGATCAAGAGTTGCACACTCCACCAACTGAACCAGCCAGGCACCCCTATGTACGTTGTTGTAACAGTTGTAACTTTATACGGTTTGCTATGGTTTTCTCTTTTTCCCCATCTATTCCTTATTTTAAATAAGCTCAGGCATTTCTGTCATTTAAAAAATTAAAAAAAAATTTTTTTTTAATGTTTGTTTATTTTTGAGAGAGAGAGAGAGAGAGACAGAGAGCAAGCAGGGCAGGGGCAGAGAAAGAGGGAGACACAGAATCGGAAGCAGGCTCCAGGCTCTGAGCTATTAGCACAGTGCCCAACGTGGGGCTTGAACCCATGCACCGCGAGATCATGACCTGAGCTGAAGTCGGACCCTTAATGACTGAACCACCCAGGCGCCCCCTACTTAAAATTTTTTTAAAGGCTATGTTATTCTTAGTATAAAGTAATACAGTCTTGGAAAATAAAGAAGGCAGAAGAAACTAGAACGCATTTTTCATATCACTCAGAGTATTTGTGCCAAACGCTAAATAATCTGCAACATTTGGCCTTTCATCCATCATTTGTAAAAAGCAGACCGATGCAAGCGCGTATGTATCAGGGAAGTCTTGTACCTTGCACTGCTCCACTTTATTTCCAGCTTCATCCATCTCTTCCTTTAGGGTATCTATTTTTGAAGGAAGCCCCTGGAAGTTGGTTCCTGAAGATTTGTGAGCTTGGTTCCACCTGTAAAACATGGGGGCGATCAGCATCTGAGAGCTGGCTGCACATACTCAACCTTGCGGAATCAAGGCCCTGAGGAAACAGACTCTTTCCCCACAGCCGATTCTACCTGGGATCGGTATGAGTACCTAGGATGCCAGCTCCTCTTGAGTTTATCCTCTAGGAATGGAAGCAAGCAAAAAGAGACATTACATCCCCACTGTGATGGGACTCTTGCAGTGCTGGTTGCAGCTGTCTGCTCGGAGTATAATCCTGTCTCATACACGCCCCACTGCTGGAAACCATGCCATGAAACACTCCTGCGCTTCCTGCTTTGATCTGGAATGTTCCTGCCCGGAGTCAGTCCTGCTCCTGGACCCTGGGACCCTTTCTGCTGCCATCCTCATCTGCGATTACCTCCAGCAAGTAAAGACCGAGCTTTGGTCATGCAGCTAACAATCCATAGCTAGGAAAACACATGTAGAACTAAAAACATCTGTAGTTCTAATATTAATATTAGTATTAACTAGTAATTAATATTAATTATTAATTAATTAATATTAATTTATTAGTAATATTAATATTCTAAAGATGAAGTTTACAGAAAGTCTAAAGCATAATGTGGAAAATTTACATCAAGTCAAAAGGACTGAGAAAAAAAAGGAAAGAATTATACCACAGCAAGAGTAGGGGAGTGCATGGGTGGGGAGGGGTAATAATCTAAAACAATTTCTAGGAGCGCCTGGGTGGCTCAGTCGGTTAAGCGTCCGACTTCGGCTCAGGTCACGACCATCTGCGGTCCGTGAGTTCGAAACTCCCGCTGCCGGGCTCTGTGCTGACTGCTCAGAGCCTGGAGCCTGTTTCAGATTCTGTGCCTCCCTCTCTCTCTGACCCTCCCCCGTTCATGCTCGGTCTCTCTCTGTCTCAAAAATAAATAAAACGTTAAAAAAAAATTATAAAACAATTTCTATTTGGTTTTCAGGTGTGCTTTGACCTTCTGTTTGAATATGAATTATGTCTGCTATTGTGGAAGCAATTTAAATGTAAACATGGATATTACAGAGATGCAGCATGAAAACCCGTGCGAGCAACTGCTCAAGCTTCCCAGCTGCTGCACTGCCCCAAAAACAGTAGGCTCTACCTTCTTCCCAGTTCCTGATGAGGCTCTCCTCCAAAGCCGGCCTTTGGCAAGTCTGCCTAAGCAAGACTGGCGATGCCATGGAGTGGCCAGAGCACGGACCTGGGAGGCTGACAAGCTCAGGTTTGAAGCCTGGCTCTCCCACACTAGCTGTGTGACCTTGGGCAATGACTTAACCTCTCTGTGCCTCAGTAATCTCATCTGTAAAGCTAAGATAACAAACACTTTGCAGAACCGTCATAAGGAATCGAGAACAAATCGATATGCATGTGCACGTGTGTGCATATGATATCTGCCCCATTAGGGATTCCTCCTTAGGAATTAGGTAGTAATTAGTCATTGGATACTGTCATTTTCCCTCAGGGAAAAGCCACAGGAATAAGTAAAGGTGAAATATTCAACTGTGTGTTTCTCTGATACCTGCTTTGATTGGTTAAAAGTGAACAAGATCCTGAACGCAGATCAAGAACCAGTGTTGAAATCCCCTCCGGGATACCTGTATTGTAGACGTAAAATTCCTGGGGCACAAGCACCTGTAATGTCGCTCAACCAGCTCCGGGGAGGGAGCATTCACGGCCTTGTTTAACGAACCATTAGAACGTTCTTCCTTATCCTGAGCAAAAGTCTACCTCAGGGTGGCCCCACTCCTGGTCCTGGCTCGGGGATTCTCCTTACAGACGTACACATGACAAAGCGTGAAGCAAGCCATGTAGAGAATCTGTGCAGGTTCCTCTCTCATCTAGAAAAGGAGTCTCTTCCCGAGAGAACAGAACCCCTGTTCCCTCTCCAGTCCTCACTGAGGGGGCCTCTGAATTTAGTCCCCAGCACAGAGTCGGGCACACAGGATGCACCCGATCGAGATCTGTCGAAAACATGAATGAGCGAATGAACAGGAACTGGTGGAGGAATCAGAGGAGGTGACACGTCATGTCCGTCGCTCCATACCTGGCACGCGGCAAGTGTCCGGTAAGTGGTGGCAATTATTTTTACCATGTGTTAATTCTTAGACGCACCCTCTATCATCTCAGTATGTCCTACATCACCACATGTCTTAACGAGTGACCCGTACATTTAATGGAGTGGTGTTTCTTCAGCCCTCCCCCAAGGAGATATCTAGTCAGTGGTGCACGGATAGTCACCAGCATCTCAGGAACGAGGAAATGCTGCATGTTGCATTGCTACAGATGTTCTAAATCTGTTAAAAAAAAAAAAAGCATCTGACAGGTAGAAGCTTAGTAAATGACAGTTATATCTCCATCCATTTGCCAGAGAGAAATGGTCATCTCTGCTTCACAGGACTGCAGTGAGAATTAAGTTACAAAATAAACAAGTCACGGAGATGAAACGTACAGCAAAGGGAATATAATCAATAATATTGTAAGGACACTGCATGGTGACAGATGGTGACCACACTTATCGTGATGAGCATTGAGTAACGTATAGAATTGTCGAATCAATGTTGTGCACCTAAAATTAATACATCATGTGTCAGTTACACTGCAGTAATTTAAAAAAATTAAAAGAAGAAAAAGTGAGAGCTAACAAAACAGGGGTCGATCAACAAAGCCACCTTTTTTTTTTTATTTAAATAAAGTTTTATTGGAACACGGTCAGGCTTTCATTTACTTATGGTCCGGGGTTGTTTTTATACTACAATAGCAGAGTTGAAAAGTTGCAAAAGGGACCATCTGGGTTGCAAAGCTGAAAATATTTACTATCCGGCCCTTTATGGAATGTTTGCCAACTCTTGTGGTAAAGCATGAGAAAGGTCGGGGCAGGCGGCAGCTGCCTCCATAGATATTCCCTATTCTCATCCACGGAGAAAGCCGCATAAGTCACGGATACACATGCCCTCAAGGACAGAGCTGGGCTGGAGTCCTGCCACGAAGCACCACAGACAGTCATCTGGCAGCCACAAGTCGGCAGCCCTCTGGGATGGTTACTTACTTTTACGGGGAGTTTTCTCCCTTTGGGCGCAGCCTTCGATCATGAAAGTATCACAACCACACAGGGTTTGGACATGGCAGGACCCTCAGGAACTGCTAAGATCACAGATCTATTTATTCCTACGCTCCACTATCCTAGAACAGGATGTTCTAACATCATTCCCACTGCCACACTTGGGAGAATGGGCCCTCGAGGCAGGTGTAAGTGGGTGCGACTTGGTCTGTGGGTCAAGTGCGTGAATCTGGAAACCTGCATGCTGTCCACTGAGTGGTCTTCCTCTCGTCCGTACCTTACCTGGCTCTGACCGAATCCCAGTCTAACACCAATTTAGCGAGCTGCTTCCTCTGTTTTTGGATGTTGGGAATCTCCAACTAGAAAGAAGAACATACCACAGACCGAATGCGATAAGCTTTGGGGTTTTTACCTTAACATCTGAAAAGGCAGTATTTATTTACATTTTTCCCCCTGAGGCATAGGATTTTGTATCCTCAACTGATTCCCCTCATTTCCAAAAGGAAGCATATGTCAAAGTCACCGATTGTCGTGAAACTTGCAGACCCAAGCGAACCATTCACCACGCAGCCCACACCGGTCTTGGCTCTTCTATGCGGCCTGGCAGAAGCACTCACCTCTGCGATGCTGCAGAGAGGATCCACAATCTCTCCCTCAACAAAGACCTCGTGCTGAGAAAGTTCTAGAGCCAGCTGGTTCTCAGCATTGCCACACGTCTCCAGAATCTTCCTTTAAAAACACAAGATACCCCCACAACAAGCATCCGCTCATTAAACCAGGTGCCCGATTACCATACTCGGCCAGCTCTCTACACGATGGGGACACCTTAGGGTGCTACACGGTAGAACCTTAAAAACGTGGTAAGTCTGGGGCATCGCCTAAAATGCAAGCCCACGGGTTTGTGCTCTAACATGAAAAAGGCACTCTCAGATACACTTTGTGAGTACATGTGTGGGATGTGTGTGAACAGTGAGGTGATGAGTCTAGGATTAGCTTCAGGGGAAGACCAAATGTTCTCCAAATAACCCTGGAATTCTTTAGAACCTTATGTAAAGTTCGTTATGTGCTGTTTTATGTCTGTCAGTGTGGCCAGCCGACGCAGGGTTTGCTCCGGAGTTAATGCAAGTGCTGGTTTTCTACTGGGGATGGTGGGCTAAGCTCAAGGGACATGTTGCATGAAAACCATGTTTGCTTTTGTTTTCCTGGGAGCACGCAGTTGACGTCACACCGAGGACGCGTGCGAATGAAACGGCTGCTCTGACACTGTCCTTCCCTCTCTCCTCCTACCCTTCTCCTTCTCGCCCTGCCCCTCGAGATCCCCACGGGATCCTTTTAAAATGACCAACGTGTGTGGCGCTGGCATGAGGTGGCCATGGTGCTGTCATTAAGAACACGATCTCCGATACCACGCTGCCTGGGTTTGAATACGGGCTTTGCTATTCACCAGCTGTGGGGTCTTGGGCAACTGACTCACCCTCTCTGTTTGTCAATTTCTTCAATGGGAGGTAGAATGTAGGTTGTCTTGAGGACTGAACGAGTGAGTACATGGAAAACACGTAGAGCAGTGCTAGTGCAGAGCAAGGACTCCCTCCATCAGCCGGGAGGACCAGGAGTGCCAGCATGCACACACCAGCCACCCTCTTCCCAGGACCATCACTCCCAAATATGGGAGCATGGACAGGACGGAGGAAGGGTGAAGAGTGGGGGGAAACTATCATCCTGGAAAGGACAAAGTTACGGGGTGCCTGGGTGGCTCAGTCAGTTAAGCATCTGACTCTTGGTTTTGGCTCAGGTCATGACTGCACGGTTCCTGAGTTCGAGCCCTGTTGGGCTCTACACTGATAGTGTGGAACACACTTGGGATTTTCTCACTCTCTCTCTCTGCCCCTCCCCCCATCAAAATAAATAAATAAACTGCAAAATAAAAAAGAACACAGGTAGCGTTGTAGGGCATGGAGTATAACAGGTCCCTGGAAAGGGGGCTGTGGAGTCCAAAGCCCAGGGCAGCTGGGAAGCACAGTGAGCGGTATAGCAGAGACAGCAGATTGGCTCAAAGGCCCCCATCCTCATGTAGAAGCAGGTGGAAGGAAGGGTTAACCTTCCCTCTTATAGTAAAAACAACTTCATGATTAGATTTTTAAAAATTATTTATAGAACACATGCCTACTGCAAAAAAAAAAAAAATCCAAATAATTCAGAAAACACAAGATTTTGAGACAACCACCATTGATATTACGGTGGCCACCCTCAAAGGAGGTGGCTCTTAAGGACTGGACGGGACTGCTCAGGGAAGGGACATGTTCTTTATACCGAGGCTCAGGGGAATAAAGAATGACCCTATCAATCACTTTCGCTAGTGGCCCTTTCAATCATTGGAAGCCAGCGTTGCTCCTGCTAAAGGGAAGACTGCCTGCCATCCCGGGGGCCCAGACCCCACTTCTTCCCATGGAGACTGCGCCATTCTCCTCCTGGAGCATGAGCCACACCGTCACGCTCACGGCCCCTCTGTCACGCAGATGCCTGCCGTGCACAGCACCCGCCCACCCGCTCCCGCTGACGCGCAGGTTAGCGGGCTCGCTCTCTGAAAGCAGCCCACTCTTACCCCAGCAGGGAGTCTTCCAGCTGAGTCGATGCTTCTTGCATGTTCTGAGCAAGAGCGGTCAGAGGGAGTTTTTTCTGGAAGGCAGAAGACAATATGTTGTTTTCATTATTACTGATACCCGTTCTCAATGACCAGCCGCAGATCATCATTCGGTGATTTGTCCTCCAGGCACACTGCACAGGTAAGAGGTAGACTGTCTGGGTTCAAGATCCAGTCTCAAACATGTGCACTGTGTGACTTAACCTCTATGTCCACGTCCTCACACCTGGATGATACCGAGGCATGGTAACAGCAAGGGTGTCCTAGGGCTGTCTGCCCATCTAAGGAGATCTTCAACGTCAAGTACCTAGCATGTGCTACGTACTTAGTAGGTGTTGGCTGCTAGTATTATTGTTGGGGTAGCTGTTAACTGTTCTTATTAACTAATCAAGTACATACTGTGTCTGAAGCCCTGGGAACATAAGACACAGATCTTACTCTCTGATTATCATAACACATAAATGCAAGAAAATGCTCAATTTCAAGAACTTTTGCTAGAATACTCATTCTTAAACAGGCTCTTAACCTAGCTGTAATCATAAGGGCCCAGCTCTAGTTAATATCTAAAAACGTCTGGCTAAATATCTGAAAAATTTTTTTTTCTTAATGTTTTTATTTTTATTTTTGAGACAGAGAGAGATGGAGCATGAGCAGGGAAGGGGCAGAGAGAGAGGGAGACAGAAAATCGGAAGCAGGATCCAGGCTCTGAGCCGTCAGCACAGAGCCCGACGTGGGGCTCGAACTCACAGACTGTGAGATCATGACCTGAGCCGAAGTCGGATGCTCAACCGACTGAGCCACCCAGGCGCCCCTGAAAATTTTTTAAGGTATTTAATCACAAAGCGATTTTCCTATCAGAGATTTGTTTTGCAGCTGGAAATGACCATAAGGATCATCTGATTTATGTTCTAATTGTACAATCAAGGGACCTGAAGCCCAGGGTGGTCAGGTGGGCTGGCTGGGCACCCCAGTGAGGGGCAGCAGAGCCAGACCTTTGTGCCATGGGCCTGAGCCCCAGTTCAGTTTCTTTCCACCACTGCTTGATGGCTCATCTCATAAGGGTAGAAAGGGCCTGTCAAGTACGAGTGGGTTGGTTATAGCACATAACGTGCAAACAAAAATATGCATTCAGGGCGCCTGGTGGCTCAGTCGGTTAAGCGTCCAACTTTGGCTCAAGTCACGATCCTGTGGCTCATGAGTTCGATCCCTGTATCGGTCTCTCTGCTGTCCGCACAGAGCCTGCTTTGGATCCTTTGTTCCCCCTCCATCTCTGCACCTCCCTTCCCCTTCTCAAAAATGAATAAACATTTTTTCAAAATGCATCCAATGTGGCAATGCTCCCCATGATTTTGCCTCCCCAGTAGAAAGGGCTGTTATGTCAAAGACACAAGGTCCACCTTGCTGTGGCATTGTTGTGCCTTGACCTCTAGCATATCACCTGCCTTTCCCGCTTTAAAGGGCTCCATGTGATACACTTACACCGTATTTGCTTGTATTGTAGAGAATATCTCTTGAAAGCTATACAAGAAGCTACTAATGCTGGTCACTCTGGAGAGGGCAGCAGGGTGCCTTGGGGACAGGGTGGTGAGAGATCTCACTTTATGTTCTTCTGTATCTTCTGGATTTTGACCATGTAAATATGCAGCCTACTTAAAACAGTATATTGAAATTTAAAAATAAACAACAACTGGGGCACCTGGGTGGCTCAGTCGTTTAAGTGTCCGACTTCAGCTCAGGTCATGTTCTCACAGTTCATGAGTTTGAGCCCCGCGTCGGGCTCTGTGCTGATAGCTCGGAGCCTGGAGCCTGCTTCAGATTCTGTGTCTCCCTCTCTCTCTGCCCCTCCCCGACTCATGCTCTCGCTCTCTCTCTCAATCTCAAAAATACACTTTAAAATAAAAATAAATAACAATTCTATTTACCCACCTCTCATCCTCCCAAGTTATTTTCACGTAAGTAAATATCAGGCATCCCCTGCCCCACAAGGGGACATTGCCAGCTTCTGCACTTTCAGATCAGGAAGATAGGAGAAAACGGGCAATGTGCCTTGTCATAATGAGGATAATTCATACATGTTAGTCATGCTGCCTTTATAAGGGAAATTAAATCTAGGATAAGTGCAATAATCTGGAGAAATACACTTTGTGCAACTCTGGAGCTCGGAACCAAAATCATAAAGAGCAGAGTCTACTTTGACAAAATCATTCAAGTTCCCGGCTATAAATAGCCTTGTGGTTTCCATGCCCTGACCCCAAGCCACAACAGTCCTGCATCTTGATGTACATAAATAAGGACATCCCGCTTATTTAACCCCATGCTCTTCGATGAGGATGCTATCCACCAACAACATACTCCTCCACAAACACGGCTAAGCACTTCCTAGGCATGAACAGCTTTTTTTTTTTTTTTTAAATCACCAGGGATTCATTTAAAAAGATCTAAAGCCATAATTTACGAAATGCATGCCCACTGCCCAAAAGGTAGCCGCTCCAGATCCTACACGATTCTTGCCTCCTCACATGCGTGGGGGGTCTCTCATGGGACCTTTGGGAGGCTCCTCCTGTGTATTCTAGAGTGCTAGAGACTGTTGTCATTTCTTCCACAATATTGACCGCCGTGGTCACCCATCTCCTATCGTTTCCATGGTGTCTACTCTCTCCCACATGCACAGTGTAGACAGCCTCAGAGGCCTGTCTTTGGCACTTTTTGTTCGAGGTTGGAAAAGGAAGCCCAAGGCATCAGGCTTTAGAAATGACCTTTGCATCCTGCTGCCTAGAATATGCCGGTCACTTGCCACTCACTGCCCTCGTTTATGGCTGGGCTACCACCTCCTCTGGGAAGCCTCCCCTGACTACGTCTCTCCTCCTGTGATGCCTATTCTCAGTCCTCCTGTAATACCCTGTGCACACTTTGTTCGGCATGTCATTTTAGGATCATGCATCTGTGTGTGTGTATCTCCCCCTGCCAGGCCGTGAGCACCTTTAAGGCGGAGGCCACATCTTGTTCATTTTATTATCTCCAGCACTTGTACACAGTAGGTGTTTCATAAACACCTGCTTAAAAGGCAGTCAAAGGAATGGACAGGACACAACAATGTGAAGGACAGAGACGTATGGCAGGCGGAAGTGGGAGACAATGGGACTGGATAAGGGGAAAGGAAACAGGATGGGATTATGAAAGGTTCCTCGTGCTAATGAAGAGCTCAGACTTTCAATCCTGGCAATGGAAGCCAGCCAGCGCCCCTCAAAAGAGGCACCACTGGTGTTAGGGGCCACTTCCGGTGTGGAACTATGCCCCTAGGCACTGCAGAATGTTCAGCATCTCGGTCCCCACCCTCTACATGCCAGGAGTGTCCCCCGGTCCCTATGGCAACGCAAAATGTCTCTATGTATTTCCAAGTATCCCCAGGAGTGTAATCCTGGCCCCTGTTGAGAACCGCTAAGCTACGATGTTTTCTCGGCAGGAGGATGTCCGTATCTATCTGTATTTCAGAAAAACAATTCTGGTGATCAGGCTGGAGCCAGGCTGGACGAGAAGGAAATCAAAGGCAGGAAACAAAGCTCAGGAGGTGACTGCACCATCCAGGTTTTGCGATCATCGCCTTTGTGAAAGGGCTCAGGTTTTGCTTTCAGGCAAAGGTGGCAGAGATAAGGCGGGGGTGAGGAATTCCAAAGACAGTCACAGAGAATCACAGGCCTTGCTAATCAAGCAGCCATGGGAGGGTGAGGATACAATAAAAGGGAACATAAGGTAAGCCGACAGTTTCCAGCTTGCACAACAGGGTGGGTGGAACTCAAGAGTCCACGCAATGAAGAACTAGTGACGCGTGCCAAAACAGACATCTAGGGAAGGAAGTGTTTTGCTTGGTTGAAATGCTTGAGACGTCCCTGGCATCAACACACCAGTCAGAAGCCACGAGGACAGAAGAGGTGGCCCAAGGAATGTGACGGGAGCAACGAGGAGGAGGACAGAGCCTTAGGAAACAATGTGGAAAGGGGAGGCAGAACAGAAGCCACAGCGAGAGAACAAGAAGGAGCCGTGGGGACAGGACCGGTGGCTTGGGTCCGGTTCTGCTGGACAGGACGTGCAGCAAGCATTCCTGGAGTCGTAGGTGTGGGCAAACGTCCGCCCTCTGATACCTGTTACTGCAGCAAACCAAGTATTGCACGAGAGAGGAATATCCTGGCGTTGGGACGTCCTTCTCAGATGTGTGTAGGAAATCTGAGAAAAGGGTGACACAGGTCACCCGCGTACCGGTTCTTCCTCTTGCGACATCAGGTGTCCCACAACACACCACGGCAAATCATAGCTTCCCTGTATGCCACTGCAGCTACCACCGTAATGCTGTAAGGGCTTCCGAGGGCTAGCATGTGCTCGTAAGCTAGGAACCTGTAAACCCAAGGATGGAGCTGCCTGGCGACGGAGAGTGGCTGTGCTCTGCTGGTGGCACAAGAGGACCCGGATGCTTCAGACAAATGTATCCTGGAGCAGATGTTCGGTGGTTCTCCTCGAGGCCATCCCTCTCCCTTTTAGGACAGTGTCCTGACTTCTCCTTCGGGTCCACCCCAGTCTAAATAAAGCCTGTGAGCTACAGAGGCAGCTCCACAGCCCACGCTCTAAGGGCAGGCCCTGAGTAGCTTAAGCCAACCAGCACATCCCGCCTCCTCCCAACCTCACCCCTACCCAAGGTAGCCAGGGTGGAATGGGAATGTTCAGGAATGGGGAATATGACTCAATACAGACCAATGCAATGGAAGGCCATTTCTACCTGCCAAGGACTTGGAAAAAGAAGTTCTCTCACTCCCTTAAAGAAACCCGCTGGAAAGCGTGCTTTCTACTTCTGCTGGACATGCACAAGGAAGCAGGTAGCCAGTGGAAGCTGCTGGTAGCCAACCCACAGCCGTGGGAGGTGCCCATTTAGGGGCAACGCAGACACTGAGGAAGGCAGAGGGGGCAGAAGGAAAAAGAGTGACATTTTGCTTACACCACTGACCTGCTAGCCCAGGCCTCTCCTCAAGTCCATCCCAGCTTCTGCACTTTTCAGTTAGAAGACCAATAAATTGCATCATTTTCTAAGTCCATTTAAGACAGGCTTTCAGCTTTTTGCCATCAAAGCATTCCTAACAGACAACTCTATTCTCTTATCAATGACAAATGGCTTATCGAGTCTTTAAAAGCACCTGGGGAAAATGCAGTGTGAGCAGTGCCTTCAGCACAGCCACGTCTGAAGCACAAAAAAACGTTCTGGTCTGGCAGGTGTCGGGAGAGTAAATGGCAGTACGAGGTACAAATCTGCAGGCAAATGTGCTGACGCTGCTTGGGAAAAACCAAGCGAGCGAAGGGTGAAGAGCCTCACGGAGACACAAGAAAGACCCAACAGCCGTGGCCCCATGTCACATCCGATACTCACGTATCTCTTCTCCACGTCGGGGCCGTGGCCCTGGAAGCATGCTGCCAGGCGCTTGTGGGAGTGGTGGCATATTGACCGAACCGTGTCCAGGCGCCGCTCGATCTGACAAATGAGACAAACGAGCCATCAGCAAGGCTTCAGGACACATCTCTTCCTACGTGGCATTGGCATGTAGGTAGAAGCAGCACGCGGGGGTCTACCTTTTTAGCTCTTGGTGTAGATGCCCATGGTCTCCATTCCCCTAGAGCAGGGTTTCTTTCTACTGACATTTGAGGCCAGATAATTCTGGGTGTGTGTGTTGGAGGGCGAGGGGGGCTGCTCTGTGCATATGGTACGTTTAGCCTCATCTCTCTGGCCTCTACCCACTAGATGCCAGGTGCACCCCATTCCGAGTTGTGACAACCAGAAGTGTCTCCACACACTGATGAATATCCTCCCAGTGGGCGAAACGGCCCCTGGTTCAGAACCGCCGACCTCTCCTACACCGAGGGGTTTAGATCTCCTAAAGGCTAAGTGTGTGTGCAGGGAGGGGGCGCGGTCACGGCCACAACTCCTATCAGGAAGGGTGACGGCAGTCAGGCTAGGCGCTCCCTGCAAAGGCCCGGCGCCAACCTGCAGAACCGCAGATGAACACCTCAGGCCCAGACCCACAGCCAAGTGGAAAAACCACGGGACTGTCAGAAGCCATCCCCTGTGGATAGTGGCAGAGCCTTCCACACACGGGACATCAGACAGAAGAGTCCAAATCAAGGCTCCACAGTTTCCATTCAAAGTCAGTTGTTTTCAAAATTATTCTTTATTGGGGTTAGGGTGGGTTTTTGTCTTTGTTTTTGCTTTGGTTTTAACTAAACCCCTAAAGCACAATGGACTGCAAGAAACACTGACTTAGGGACCCACGCATCAAGATTTAGTTTCCCAAAATATTATTGCTGGGATATGGCTGTTTATGGCAAAGAGAGCTGCTTTTCACAGGAAGGAATGCCAAAAATGTGTATTCTGATGACTCATTAAGAATGAGTGCAGGCCCTCAGGGATGCTTTCTATTTTAAAGAAAAATCAACAAATTCAAAGCAGAATGCATTTTTACCCCACAACATTTTACCCAATGACATGGTTCTATGCTTCTCTCCTGAAGGTCCGCACCACGCTCTCCCCCCCCCCGCCCCCGCCCCACAGCTTTTCTTCAGAGCCAAGGCCCGACTACCAGGGCCCTGATCAAGCAGGCACACTTATGTAAGGAGCAGAGGCCACATCACTGACCCTTCATCTTATAATGACCACATTGTAACACACTGGAAAACTAATATGCACTTCTTTACTGACCACAAAAAACAGGCAAAATCAAACAAAAACAAAACCCCACAAAACTCCATTTGGCTTTGATTCTAATTTCCACTAGAAAATTACAAAGTCCACTGGGGGACAGGACCTTGGTCTGTTCTGCGCACGGATTTATCCCAGGTACCCGAAACACTGTCTGGAACACGAATGCAAGGTGTTCATTTAATATTTGCTGAAAGGTCAAGTACATGTATTAAGTCCCTGTGCAAGGTATCAGAAAAACAACAGTAAATAAGCTGTAGTTCTCATCCTCCTGGGATTCACAGCCTCCCAGGGAAACTCCACACAAGCACAACAAACTTATGAGCAAAAAATAAGAGGCAAAATAGAGCCATTTGACTGCTCTCACAGATCAAACAGGGAGCACACAGACTAAGTGAAGGGAAATCTCACACCAGAAACAAAAAATAAAATGTCTATGGCCCGGGATCCATCCCTAGTGTTCTCCCGTTTAACCTGTTAATTCCTGCTAATGATCTGATGGAGTGGATACCGCCATTATCCTCATTTTAGAGAAGTGGAAACTGAGGCACAGGAAGTTAAGTAATCCCCTGAGGCCACAGAGCCAGTCAGGGAAAGACCTGGGTAGGCAGGCACCAGCCTCCACACTTTCAAACAGGACTCTCTTCTTTACAGTCAAAGAAGGGGGAAACACCTGTGGCAATGATGGCAGATGGGGGTGGGGTGGGGGTGGG